GTCGGTTCAATACTGATGAGGGATTGAATGAGTTTTTGGTTACGAAGAGTGTGACCTGGATGGATTAGGTTTATTTTGGATCTGGCATCAGCGTTTTGATTTGGTAATGCTGTTTGGCTGTACATGTGCATTGCAGGTTTGCTACCTGCTCCCAAAGCCTACACTGTATCTCTATGTAATTTCCATACCCATAGCTCACTTGTCTCGTCCGAGAAGTATACTTTCTCGGTGGGTATTGACCCGAGCCCGGCGTGGAGCAAATTCACAATATGCTGATAATATGTGGCTATTGTCAAGAAGCTGATGAAGTGCAAATCTGAATTTGAGGCATCTCCCAGTTTATATTGTGCAAAATGCTTATATTTCGGCATTTGAATCAAAAAAACACGCGGTGACATATGAGGTCATCAGTCCCACTGGGGCAATTCCCATCCCCGGATTAGGTCAGCCCCATATTTTCTGACCACCAATCAGAGGTCACATATTCCTCATCCGGCAAATGAGTTTGCCTGTTTCCGGTATTTGTCCACTTGTTCTTTCGGTTTAACATTGCCCAGGTGATTCATTTGGATATCCACGCCGTATTACATGCCCTTTATGCCTTGGATTTACCTATACTTCATAGAAAGGCTTCAAATATAAAACATTGTACTTTCTCCTCATCATGCCATGCACTCGGGAATTCCGGACCGCGATTCTTATTCCGAGGCTCACAGCGTGGACAGCTCTTACTGCAACCTTGCAAGTACCGAGGAAGCCGGAATTCAATGTCCCACTGTTTCTCGGTTTCTCAAAAACATAGCACTCCGTATATTCTACTGTAATTCCGGTGACTTTCCGACCGGTATCTTTTTCTATTCCCTAGGAATTTCTCACTGGAATGTGAGATAGATGCATGTGAAAATGAATTCTAGACTATAGTTACATTCAAATGTTAGTTATATCGCATGTGATCCCCCCCTTCCCCAGATCGTCCGTAATGAAACAGACAAACCAGAGGTAGCCAATTACTGTTACGGGTACCCCATCTTTCATCTCCCCACGTCTTTTTTTGTGCCTCGGCCGATAGACACCGTCGGCATCTGACCTTCTCCGAACCCTTTAAGATCCTTCATCTCTCTCCCTTTCTGTTTTTACTCCATATCTCCCTTTATCTCTACACATAACATAATGGCTGCACCTCAAGTAATTGTGGTCGGTGGTGGCCGTAAGCATCTCTCCCCGCATTCTCTCCGTATTCAGCTGACCCTCTCCAGTCTCCGGCCTCAGCGCCGCACACACTGTCTACCTCAATGGCGGCAACGTCCTCGTTTTGGACAAGCAGGCTTTCTTCGGTGGTAACTCTACCAAGGCCACCTCCGGTATCAACGGTGCCCTCACTCGCACCCAGACCGATCTCGGCATCCAGGACAGCGTCAAGCAGTTCTACGAAGATACCCTCAAGTCCGCCCGTGACAAGGCCCGTCCCGAGCTCATCAAGGTCCTGACTTACAAGTCCGCCGCCGCTGTCGAGTGGCTGCAGGATGTCTTCGACCTCGACCTCACCCTCGTCTCCCGTCTCGGTGGACACACTCATCCCCGCACACACCGTGGTCACGATGCCAAGTTCCCCGGTATGGCCATCACCTACGCCCTGATGCAGCGATTGGAAGACCTCGCCGAGAAGGAGCCCGGTCGTGTCCAGATCGTCAAGAAGGCCAACGTCACCTCCGTCAACAAGTCTGGTAACAACGTTACCGGTGTTACCTACACCGTCAACGGTGAGGAGAAGACCGCCGACGGTGTCGTCGTTCTCGCTACCGGTGGTTACGCCGCTGACTTCGGTGACACCTCCCTCCTCAAGAAGCACCGCCCCGACACCTTCGCTCTGTCCTCCACCAACGGCACCCACGCTACCGGTGACGGTCAGAAGATGCTGATGGCCATCGGTGCCAACGGCATTGACATGGACAAGGTCCAGGTCCACCCTACCGGTCTCGTCGACCCCAAGGACCCCGACGCCAAGTTCAAGTTCCTGGCTGCCGAAGCCCTCCGCGGTGAAGGTGGTCTCCTCCTCAACGCCGACGGCCAGCGCTTCTCCGACGAGCTCGGCCACCGTGACTACGTCTCCGGCAAGATGTGGGAAGAGAAGGAGAAGGGCAAGTGGCCCATCCGCCTCGTCCTCAACAGCAAGGCCTCCAAGGTCCTGGACTTCCACACCCGTCACTACTCCGGCCGCGGCCTGATGAAGAAGATGACCGGCGCCGAGCTCGTTGCCGAAATCGGCTGCGGCGAAGCTGCCCTCAAGAAGACCTTCGACGAGTACAACCTCATCGCTGACGGCAAGAAGAAGGACCCCTGGAACAAGCGTTTCTTCCACAACATGCCCTTCAAGCTCGACGACGAGTTCCACGTCTCTCTCATGGAGCCCGTCCTCCACTTCACCATGGGTGGTATCGAGATCGACGAGCACGCCCAGGTCCTCAACGGCGAACAAAAGCCCTTCGACGGCCTCTACGCCTGCGGTGAACTCGCCGGCGGCGTCCACGGCGCCAACCGTCTCGGCGGTTCCTCCCTCCTCGGCTGTGTCGTCTACGGCCGTGTCGCTGGTGACTCCGCTTCCCAGCACCTCTTCAAGAAGCTCATCACCACCGGCTCCTCCACCGCCGCCTCCCAGCGTCTCGGCCAGATCTCCCTCCACATCGACCCCAGCACCCCTGGCAAGATCTCCGTCGAGTGGGGCAGTGCCGCCCCCGGCACAGCCCTGCCCGCTCTCGCTGCCCCTGCCCCTGCCGCCGGCGCCGAGGCCCCCGCCTCCAAGCCCGATCCCGCCAACTTCCAGATCCCAGAGACCGAGTACTCCATGGAGGAAGTTGCCAAGCACAACACCAAGGAGTCCCTCTGGGTCGTGGTCAAGGGCGTCGTCCTCGATCTCACCAACTGGGTCGATGAGCACCCCGGCGGTGCCAACGCCCTGTACAACTTCATGGGTCGCGATGCTACCGAGGAGTTCGCTATGCTCCACGACGATGAGGTTATCCCCAAGTACGCCGCTCAGACTGTGATCGGTCGTGTCAAGGGCGAGACCCCTAGCCTGGAGCTGTAGAGGTTCTATCAAAACCTTCCTTCTCTCATGTCTCTTCTCCCTGACGACTGCTCTCCCTCGATGAAATAAGATCCTCCAGCGTGTGATCTCTCATACCCCCGTTTCGTCTCTTTCTGTTGTTTCTTGTGCTGGCTTTGGCATGCTTGGATCAAACTGTTCTTGTGTAACATACATATATGGCTTATTTTGGAATATATTCTTTGGAATCATAGATTTTGGTTTTGATGTAGCTGTTGTAGTTGTAGCTCTGGTGAGTTGTTGAGACCATCTGTTCTAGGGTTTGGGGTCCGCGCCTAGACCCTTGGAGACCCCTGGTACACTCGGTAATCAAAAGACGGATCCTGAATGCCGTAACTGCCCAGGTAGAATGTCAATAACAAGCCTGTTTTATCGGCCCATCTTTATACAATCTGCCAAATACTACTCCTAATAATCGTGCCAAGCGCCCAACACCACCCTGGTGGTGTTGGTGTGCCCCAGTCAACGGTAATTCCCGGTCAACGATAAATCTAGAAATTAGGTACCTTTTGTATGGGCTTGTCGTACAAAAGGTACAAAAGATATAAAGTTAACAATATCCATTTTTGTCAACCCCCCATATGGGTAGGGAAATTGCAGGTGTATATATATATACTCAAAGTACGAGAACAGTTTAAGTTCTACATACAACTTTTATATACGGTACTTTTTTAATCTGCTCCTCACTTTCACACAAATTGTTTAGAATTAATTCTAGTATTAGAATGACCTAATCATACTTATATTATAATAGTACTCTTATTTATCTTTCTAGCAGTTCGAGGGTTGACGAAAATGGATATTATCAATTTTATATCTTTTTGTACTTATTGTATGACAAGTCCATACAAAAGGTACCTAATTTCTAGATTTATCGTTGACCGGGAATTATCGTTGACTGGGGCGCACCAACACAGCTTCCTGTGTTGGTCTGTGTTGGTCGCTTAACACGATTACCTCTCTTATATCTAGCCTAATATTTACATACATCAATCAAATGCGATATTCTAGCCCCGCCACATGCAAACCTTCCCATTCTTCCATCGTCCCATCTAAAAAGGACTAGCGCTATCAACGTGACCGTTCATCCTAGCGGTCTCGATCCTATCCAAGTGAAAAAAAACCTCATAGTGGAGCTATTCAATTAATCCTACTAGGAATTTAGTCCTACATTGGTTTACTGAAGCGTCTTCATCAGCTGCATTACACGTCAGACCACCCTGACGTCAAACTGTGATCAGCACTACATCTAGTTCTACCTAAGTATACTGAAGATTCCTGAGGACATTAGCTGCAATACACGTTAGACCACAAAATTCCTGACGTCAAACTATGATCCGCACCAAGCTTACATCTAGTTCTACCTTGGTTTACTGAAGTTTCCTCATCAGCTGCATTACACGTCAGACCATAATATGCCTCACGTCAAACTGTGATCAGCGCTACATCTAGTTCTACCTAAGTATACTGAAGTTTCCTGAGGTTATCAGCTGCAGCACACGTTAGACCGCACAATGCCTGACGTCAAACTATGATCAGCACTAAGATTACATTTGGTCCTACGACTCCTACCTGGAACATTCCAGATCCTAAACCGAATGAAGGTAGTGAGGAGTGGAGCTGGAGTATCTTGATGAAGTCCTCAACTGGGCCTGTAAACTATTCTAGGTCTTAAAAAGATGTCATGATGATCACAACCAAGACTGAAGATTCTGAATTCGGCTCTTTGTTCTATTAGGCAAAAGAGGAATATAAATACCTACATATTTCCTGCCTATGTGCCTTCGAAATCGTAATCAAACTATATCAAATTAAAATACCAAATTAAACTACCACTTTTGAGTTGACTATACCTATCTCCGCGATTTAATACCATCCCATTTTCTACTATCTCAATATGAAGTCTCTTCTCCTTCTTGTGCTGCTCTATATCCCATTTTCCTCTGCTACCTGCGCCTTCCTAGGCGGCCAAAGGTGCAAGAAGGCCGGTGGATCTGTCAATGGTGATTATGAAAGAACACTGGACATTTGTAACGACGTTCACAGTGATATGTGTTACTGTGTGAAAAAATCCGAAGATTACTGTACGGCGTACAACAGTACAGAGGCCAATGAATTCGACCAGGAGTGCACAAGCCAAGTGGGCTGGACTACGTTCAATTGCTAGCTTACTCGGTGTTTGATCAGTATATGAGATGACCTTGAACGGAAAAACTTGACAAGATTAATGAGATATGTGCTATTGACCAGCGTGTTTGAGTGTGAACTTAACGAAATATGTTTTAACAAATGTGCTAATAATCGACGTGATCGATCGCAGAGCGGAGGTTGGAGCTCTCTGTCGTTGTATGGAGTTTTTTCCCACTGGGTTTTTATCTCGGCCGACAGTTAGCGAATAAAAGCTGATTTTACAACGATTTTCACATTGTACAAATGGTTACAAGTCTGCGTCAACAATCCTCGGCACTTGGCCACGATGGCCTCTTGAGGTAATTGTTTAGACCACGGGACACTGAACATCACTGAGCATTCACTAAACATCAATTAATATACACGTGACTGATCAGGCAATGATCAATGCGGGTGATATGAGTCCGTGCTAATATCTACTCAGTGAGCCTGAGCCTGAGCAACATACCAGCGCCGGTAGCTCAAATAGGAAACCGCCAGAGAAAATCCGGTAAATATAGGTACATATAGATGTACATGGTATATCGAAACCAAACCTAGAGGGCCCTTACAAGCCCACATAACCTATACCTCAACCCCCCTACTCCATATAAATCCCAATGTATAATTCAATCACCCCTTCATATGCATCAAAATCATCTTCAACCTCCTAACAGCAGGCCCATCCTCCCCACCCAATCCCTCCCCAACCCCCTGCTCCTCAATCTCAACCCTCGCCTCTTCAAGCACAGGCTGCAAAAACCCCCAAACCTCATCATGATACCTCTCCTGCACACCAACCCAATCCCCCGCCCCAGGAAGATCCCTCAAAACAGAATCACGAAGCGAAGTAGAAGTAGAACCAGCCATAACCGTATCCCCCTCCGCAAACCCAATCCCACTCCCAACCCCCTGACTCAAAAAAACATCAATATCAGGAACAAGACTAGCCCCCGTTAACCGACTCTTTTTCTCCTCGTCTAACCCCATCCCCTTCCGGAATGAATCAAGAACCTCCCTCTCGCTCGCAGAAAGCGGGACCGGTAAAGCGGCGATATCAATCTCGGTATCCGGGACAGTCGTCGGGTCTTCGAAATTCGGATCGAAGTTTGTATCCGATAGCAGGGAGACGACGGCTGATCCGTCGTCTGTGTTTGGGGTATATGTTGTCGTCGGGTCTTGTACGTGCCATTGGCGCTGCCAGACGGTTTCGAGTTGGTGTTGGGTTGGGTCTTGGGCGCGGGCTTTGCCTTTCCAGGTTGAGGAGGGGGTTTGGAGGTCGTTGTGGGATTGGGGTTGGGGTTGGGGTTGATTTGTAGTTGTAGTTGTTTCATCTACCATTCCATCATATCCGTATGCATTTCGCTGGAATTCGTCTTCTGTCAAGGCTGGTAGAGCGAATCCACCCGGTGTGGTATCGTGTTCGCGGAAAGCTTGCGCTGCAGACCCTGACCCTGACCCTGACCCTGACCCGGAACCGAGACCTCCATGCTGTGTATTTGCGGGTAGATCCCTGCTTGTCTGTGTGTTTGGGAGGGACGATGGACCTGCTTTGCTCGTGCTTGATGCTAGCGTGTTGATTATGTCGGAGCCCGGGTTGAATGCGCTTTTCGCTAGGCCTGTTGCGGAGGTTTGGATGCGGGATGCTAGGGAGGGGTTGGGTTGGGTGTTTGAGGTTGATGGAGCTGGGGCTGGGGCTGTGTTGATTTTGGGGTTGGTGGGATTGCCCCGCTGGTTCTCTTGGTCGCTCATTGGGTTGGGTTTGGGATTTTGCCCTGGAGGAATTTAAAGATTAGGGATTAGGGATTAGTTGAGACTGAGGTTTAAGGGTTGAGATTCGGGATGGGGTAGCTCTTGTCGGTGTTCGGCTTAATGTGCCTGGGCCGGATGATGTAGGGAAGCATGTGAAGGTCGATTGGGATGAAGGATATTAGGGTAATATGGACTAGAATGGGGGAGATAGTGTATTATCTAACAGTCAATAGAGTTACTCGGTGCTTTTACTTGTAGAATCTTAAAAATTAGACTCATTTAGAAATATGACACAGCTCGGCATTCCCATATATATACTTCTAGATCTATATATTCATATGAAATACTCTCAACATTAGCACATAGATGTTTCGGATTGGAATAGCTTCAATTGCATTTGCATCCTCTACTACTCTTAGATGGCATATATACCAATGCTTAATTTGGCGGAGACCTGTTTAGGCCTCAAGGATGACGACAGAGGCGCATAGTACAGCTTCGGGCATATTGAGGATTAAATACAGATTGAAAAGAGATAGATTCAGCTCAATATAAGCAAATAATCAGATAATAACCTAGAATTCCAATTGCTATTCCAACTTCCATCCGCAGTTGTCGGTTGTATACGGGTTGCAAGGCCGGAGAGGGGCGCAAAGGGCAATGTTACAGTCGTTGGCAGTGTTGATGTCAGCATATGTTCCAGGTACCTAGGTATGCCCGACCTAAATTGAATATTCCAATCTCCTGAATCAAATTATTTTAATTTTTTTTTCCATGAAATTGAATACTACATAGAATACTTCAACATTGACGGTGCCCAAGACCGTTCAGCGGTATCTCCGTAACGAACTCCCCACCACCGCCTCAACTTATCTGGGCAACTTCACCTCATTTTCCTTGTCTTTCTTCATCGCCCCCGGACCAAGTACGCAACCCCATCCCCCTCTTAGATTTTTATATTCTGGATGTTCTCTAACCGTTTTGCCTCAATAGAAACTTTTCTCTTATGATCCCCTCTCAAGCTCTGCGGGTCCACTCATAACAAGCACATTTGTGTTTCATTGCCATCTCATTCGGCAACAGCTCTTCCATTCCTCAGCTTGTCTTTCCAACTTGGATCGTTCTAGCTGTCCCCCCCCTCTGCCCCTCTTTTCGCCTTACCGCCATCCGATCTCGAAACCCCTCTCCACCTCCGGTGACCGACTCTCTCCATTTCCGTATCCAATTATTCCCATCCGACCGAATTCTTTCGTGTCGGCTATCGCGCCTACATCGCTTCATCCCGGATACTTTGCATCGATAGAGCTTTCGGAGGCATTTGCCCGCCTTTTCCAACCCGCCTTTCCGTCCCTCCTATCTTGGTGCCCTTGTCGCGTTCAAGGGCTCGTTAGAACGTGAAAATGGTAGACAGAGATCCAGGCACACCTACCTGGAAGTTCACACAGTAAGTTTGTCCCGGATTACACCTTTCGGACGTGCCCACCCGATGGTTTTCATTTTTCTCCCCCTTTTGTCTAGGCGCCATCGACCCAGGGTCCCCACAAAGAGTCATTGAATGGCTGCTAACTTGCTCTCAGATGCTTCGGCGATAAAGGCGATGTAGAAGATATTACAGAAGGTAATTGGCAGCCTCCCTCGCACACGGCCAAACCTGGTCAATTACCACAGAGTGCATCGACTGACACGCGCTCTGCAGCGGACATCATCTCGACTGTCGAATTTGACCACACCGGTAACTACCTGGCCACTGGTGACAAGGGAGGAAGGGTGGTGTTGTTTGAGCGAAACGAGACGGTACCCCACCCCCTCCGGTCTTTTCTTTCGATTTTTCTGTTTTTTGTTTTGTGTTGGGCTAATCACTAGACTACACAGAAAAAAACCTGCGAGTATAAGTTTCACACAGAGTTCCAGTCACACGAGCCGGAGTTCGATTATCTCAAGTCGCTAGAGATCGAAGAGAAGATCAACAAGATAAAATGGTGCCGACGACAGAATGCATCCCATTTCCTCCTCTCGACGAACGACAAGACGATAAAGCTTTGGAAGGTCTTTGACAAGTCGCTGAAAGTGGTCGCAGAGAACAACTTATCGAATGAACTCACTCCCGCGAACCCTGTTGGGGGTGGGGGTATGGCTCGCGCACCCCGCGTATCCTTCAAGGACCCCTCTGCGCTCAAGCTACCTCGTCTGACACACCACGACACTGTGGTTGCCGCTGTTCCGCGGAGAACATACGCCAACGCTCACGCGTATCATATAAATAGCATCTCCGTTAACAGCGATGGTGAAACCTTTATCAGCAGTGACGATCTCCGAGTGAACCTATGGAACCTCAACATCCAGGACCAGAGCTTCAACATTGTGGATATCAAGCCAGCGAATATGGAGGAACTCACGGAAGTCATCACCGCGGCCGAGTTCCATCCGGTTAGCTGTAACTGGTTCATGTATGCCAGCTCCAAGGGCACAATCAAGCTTGCGGATATGCGCCAACGGGCGTTGTGTGACGAACACGCCAAACGTACGTACAACCCATTGTATCAATTACCTTTTTACTGACTGTTTTATTGCAGAGTTCGAACAAGAAGAGGATGCCTCGTCCCGTTCCTTCTTCTCCGAGATTATTTCCTCCATCTCCGACGTGCGATTCTCCAACGATGGGCGGTACATTGTGTCCAGGGATTACTTGACAGTGAAGATTTGGGATGTCAACATGGAACGTCAGCCAATCAAGACCATCCCCATCCACGAGCATCTGCGCCCTCGCCTCTGTGATACGTACGAGAACGATAGCATCTTCGACAAGTTCGAGGTGGTCTTCTCTGGCGACGCGGAGAACGTTATGACCGGCAGCTACAACAACAACTTCATGATCTACCCCACAGAAGAACAAAAGGATACGGAGATTGTGCTCCAGGCAGACAAGTCGGCATTCAAGGCAAAGAAGGTTGGTGTACCAACGCCGATGAGCAAGGGTAACGGAAAGAAGGCTGGTTCGCGATCCGGCAGCCCTGCCGGCCCCGGCAGTCGTATGAAGAAGGAGACCGATGCCGACCAGATCGACTTCAACAAGAAGATCTTGCACATGAGCTGGCATCCATTCGAAGACAGCATTGCAATTGCGGCGACCAACAACGTAAGTCTTTTGTCTCTGTCCAAGTCCCAACAATGCTAATTGCGAATCCAGCTCTTTGTCTTCTCCGCTCTTTAATCGCAAGTACCGTCGTACCGTCACAAGGCCATTATCATTTTCCATGGACAGGCGCATCTGGGGTTTGGATCGGGTGGCTGGAGGGCCTTGGTGAACAGGCAAGATATGAAGAATGAAAACCAAGAAAATAATGATAGCAGCAAGCCACAGGTTCCATAATCACAGGACTTTCCCTTCCCCCCAATTCCCGATCTCTGCTTTCATTGTGGAACTCATCTGAGTGTTGGAGACTTAGTTTTTCTTTACCTATGTCCCCTTTACTCTTTTTCTGCTATTGCAGCAAGTTTACCAAAGGCGTTGTATGGTGGCCAACTCATGATAGAGAATGTCATGCCTGTTTTGAGGGCTTTCCATAGTTAGTACTGAAAAGACTATAGATTTGGTAGCTAACCAGTATTGAGATGTTAGAAATTCTAAGCAGAACAGTATAATTTTATGGCTTATGGGTTTTTTTTTGCTTTAATTATTGCTTTCTCTGACTAGATAGGGGGGAAAAAGACCAAAAATGGTACCTCGAAAATGGATCTTTTAGAAAGGACCCTGAGAAGGATGCTGAAATGAGGCCACTCAACTCGGCATTGTTGGCCAGCCCTTACCCTCCGCCCCTTTCCGAGGCTCGACAAGCGAGAGGTACTCCAGCCTTCAGAACAAGCCTTATTGTGTAGTTTGATAGAGGAGATAGACTACAATATGAACAATAAGCCATCACTCTATTCAGATCATTGACCTCCATTCATGACTCGTGCTATTCACCTCTGTACCTGTTCACCCCATGCCTGTCATGTTTTTCTGCCGGCAATGGCGGGCGATGACGAAGGCGGACTGAAATTGACCTATCGCACAATACCAAGCATGACCAATGTAACATCTCCCATTGACGGAAATCCCGTCAATAGATACCAATAATACAGTAATGAATGAATTCTGAATACACTTCGGAGAATCAAATGTCCGAGAAGCACCCACTAAACCACAATAGGTTAGCTCCGGACAGGAAAGCCTCCACTGGAGCCCGCGATCGGTCGCGCGCAATTCCATCACCCCAGTTTGTGTCTCCTTGTCTATCATACTTCTCTACCGGTTCTTTTTTGCTGCGTGGAGTCGGTTACTGTCTTCTTATCTGCAAGACTCCGGGTCATGCTGTGACCCTAGTGCAACCTGAGCGTTGCCAGTCGATTCCTACACACGAGACTACGAGCTCCAGCTCTTCGATTACCACACCCTTACTTTTTCTCCCCTCCTCGACCCTTCTTATCCGTCAAACCTCTCTTTCTACTTCTCCCCTACTGGGGTTCGTGCATACACCATGAACTCTGGAAACGATAACTGGCACTCCTCCGGTGGGCCTCCGTCGCATCCTGGCATCGATCAAATGAACCAGCAGCCTCGGCCCCTGGGGTCATTCAGGTACGAGCAGTCGTCTAGAGTACAAGTGGCTTGATATGTATACTGAAACGATCTTCTTGCGCTTCAATAGTCAAAATCCCTCTCAGCAAGGCCAGGCTTCGCAGCCCTCGGGCCCAGTACTCCCCCTCCAGGTGGTGAGTGTCTCTTTGTGAACCATGGATTTCCACAGGCAAATCCAATGATGAAAAAACCGTTTGAACTGACTGATCTTTCTGCTATAGCCCCCTACCATCCTAGTCAGTCAGGTGGCCATTCTCTTCCTGGACTGGCAGAATTAAGCCAGACCCACGGAGGTCAGCACCAACCTTCCGCGTACGGCCAGCACCCAGCAGGCCCGTCGCATAACAGCGGCCATTCTCTTCCCGGAATTGGTCAAGCCATG